AAATTGCCTATTTATTATTATCATTATCATTGTTAAGCCAAAATTGCCTATTTATTATTATTATTATTATCATTGTTAAGCTAAAAGGGCTAATTATTTGTATTTATTTTATGCATCATTATTATATTTTATATTATACGGCTGTGCCGAACAGGCAATATTTTTAATAATATTATTTGAAATTTATATTTATTTTGATTGTGCCAAACAGGCAAATTATACATTTTCAGTTACCATATTTTGGGTTTTACGCATTTTATTTTATATTTATATCTGTCACTACCTAGTTTTTAAGTACCTATTATAGACCGTGCGTCTTGACGTTGCGTGCGAAGTATTTAGATATTCGGCGCGCGCGTATTATTATTATACGCCGCCGGCCCGTACAATATGTAATTTTTGTACCTTTGGAGTTTATGTCAAACAGCCAATTTTATTATAGGATAGAGTCATACACATTGAGTATACTAGATCTACAACGCTATTATATTATCATGGCCGAAACTGTAATAATTTCTGCGTATATAGGGAGCGTACAAATCAAAAATGTCTAGATTATAGAACGGTTAAACAAATTTCTATGTTTGGCTATAGTTAAGTAGTCAAGACACATTGTTACAAAAGAACGATATTAATATAACGGTCAAAATATGAAGTCGCCAGTAGAAAACGTGGTGTGGTCATTAAACCTTTAAACAGAGGGTGCAAACTGTGTAGCAGCTGCGATGAAAAACCACTGGACCGCGGTTATGCGCGGTATAACCTCGTCGTGGGTCTATTATTTTATCTTTAAAAAAACGACAAGTTCTGTGAAGATATTCTAATCGGTTAACCAATAATGTCTATCTGTTCGTTATTCGATAATATTATTAAGTTCCACGAGTATATGTGTATCAATTTAGTTTTTAGGGATCTCTTCCTGTAGCAAATATATTATTATTTTTTACTTAAATAATTAAAAACATTCACATTTAAAAAAGTATAATGTTATATAATCGATTACGCGTGTTACGAAACGACAGACCTAAGTTTTAATCAACTATCCGAATTTCTAAGAAATGGCAATTCATCAAAATATTTAAGTCGAAAATCTGATTTTTGTACTCCTTATTCTTTTGGGAGATAATGATACGGTTATTGTACGGCGTAGTACACTCATTCGCTTTTTCCGCACACTTATACTATTGTAGATCCGTATTTATTATTTGCATTTTGTCATCAATGGACAAATCGTAAATTCCTCGATAAGACATACAATTGGCTATCTTATCTTTGTATCTTGTACACATAATAATAATATTATTATATTCTAACAATAAGAAAGTCACTCCATGTTATTTATTACACTATTGAGTAGTATAAATGTGTCATCAATATAATTTCTAGAACCCGAAAATTCATGTATTAAAAATTACAGACTCTGACGAGCATTTACATGTGCAGAAAAATTAAATGTTTCTAAAAAATTCGTTTTGAATTATAATATTTTATTAATTCCATGCAGTGGTAGGTACTGACGTACTGTTTAAAAATAAAATATAAATTGATAAATACAATATTGTCTTTCTTATCTTTATTACTGTTTTCGTTAAAATATTCATAGTTTTATTATAGTAATGAATTTGAAAAATACTAAGTGTTATTAAAAAAAAAAAAAAAATATTGATAAAATATATAGTATGACCTATCTTTATCAAATACTTTTGAGTATGGATAAATAAAAATAATTAAATAAATTAATTGTATACTAAGTTATCATAGTGTTGCTTGTAAGTACTCTGCCTAATCGATATAAGAAATAAATCCTAACCATATTTGTGTTATTAAAAAAAAAAACTACGCTAGAGCAACAACAGATTTCTGCAATATACAATATAAGTATTCATCAAACCGACATAAGTACTAAATACAATACAAGTAAAACAACACAATATAATTTTGACTGTAATTATATAATAAATTCTGTAAATTTTTTTTTTATAGATTTAAAAAAGACATCAATGGCATATAGTTATTATATAACCTTATACAGATTTTTTGTACACATATATTACGAGTATATAAATCATACGAACATATTTACTCTAATGCTTACATTTGTACGTTTTTATTATATCATATATCTTGCTAAAGTTGATTTCCTTTAGGTAAGTATTTTAGTATTTGTTATAAACAGTTTTACTTGTTACTTTGTCCTAGACACAGTATATACTCGAATTTCATAAAAACGTCGAGAATGTTCAAAGTCTTTTTAGTGTTATTGCTTCATATCTATTATAAACAATTCGTGGGAGATATTATGTTTAATCGTGTATATATATATATAGTTATATAACTGATCCACAGGAAATGCATTTATAGGCCATTTAGCCATTTGAAACATTCGTCTTTTGTCACTGTGGATTAGTATTGTGTCTACTCAATTCTCAGTCAATTGATTACGACTCGGTTTTGTCCATTAAGTGTTTTGGAAAGTGCCATATATCAACAGTGTTTTTTTATCCCTCTAATTTTTTTTTGTAGGTTTCACTTGTTAAATTGTTTTGTTACAGTTTTATTTTATTAGTATTTTTATTTCGTGGTTTGTCTTAATAATCGGTTCTGTCGAGAAATTCTATATGCGCGCACAACACACATGATATTACCACAGTACAATTCATGGCGCACAAATGTCAATATATATATTATATACATTGTATATATATATATAGGTCAATTTAATATATATTTATATTTTATAAACGAGTAGCCACGGTCGAGTCAATCAAATATTTTCACACGCATATAATATATATAACATGTATGCCACCGGTTTTTTCGGAACAAAATTTTGAATGGCAAACGTTCATTGAAATATCATATTATTATAATGTATATATCATATTATAATGTAAAACATGTCAATTCGCGGTGTGCAGAAATCGTCCGCCCCCGCGACATGCACGCAGGTAATAATTCCTCTCTTCGGGTAATACGCTGGGAAACGTACACTCGATCGGTTCTGATGAGAACCCGTCGCGCACCATTCGTATACACATATATGTATTTGTATATTATATGTAGGTACATGGACTACCTACTTTTTTTCATCTTCTTTTCCTTTTTCCCCTTCTTTTTCTTCCTATATCGTCGGTGTTTGCATTCATCGTGTTCGCTCCTTCAAAATCGCTACTGACCTGACACAAACAAGAAATCCGGCCATTGTCGGAGAAGAAGCGATGGGATTTCGAATGTTTGCATCCCGATCCCGATACATAATATTATATCACGGCCGTCACATCCGTTCACGGGTTTCTCACGCGTGTTTTTGACATGCACCGCGCCGGCACCGCCCCGATCGGTGGTCTTGGCAGGTAGTCGCGATCGTGAAAAAGCAGAAGACGAAGAAAAAATTTATTATTATGATAATATTAAACCTGCTCACCCTTCAGAAACCTTGTAGTACGCATTGTCGCAGGTACTTATACTATACAGCGTAATGTATACGGCGCATACCTATGCATGCGAGCGCCGCGTTTTTGTGCGATTCGTCGAGGGTGTGAAAAAAGCTCGGAACTTTGTCCCGGACGAAAAAAAAAACCCAATAAAAATTTATGTATCACATATTTTGTTTTATTGAAGGAAATATAAACCCAGTTGACAAATAATGAAAATAATGTTGGTTAAATAATACAGAAAAATTTAAATTAAAAAAAAAAAAAAATATAAGGATAATGATAATAATAATAATAATAATATAATAATGATACAAATCAAACATATTAATGACATAATACTATACAATAAAATATAATAATAACTGTTGCGTTATTATATTACGTCGTCGTATTATTATAACACCATGCATCATCGTGCGACTCGGTTAATATAATATACATAACGACGGGAACGACTAGTTGAACATTATGGCGACTTAAATAGTAGTGTACAGTAGCAGTCTTTGTATAGCGTATATTAATGTAGGTACATTACAATGATATAAACAATACAATATGTGTAATAACAAAGTTCCGTTGTATAATATATAATATATATATTTATATATCATAATATTAGCGTTGTATCATTTAGGCGTTATATAGCGTTCATGCACCCGAAGCAAAATATTTTATACATAATACATAATATGGGCAGACACCACCGGATGCTGCAAAGGGACCGGATTTTCATAATAATGTATATAATAATATGTCATCGCAACTGCGATAATGCCAACAATAATGTAATCAAAATAATAGTAATAATTTAAGGGAGTAAAATTGAACTTAATATCTAAACACAGTGCAAAAAAATAATATAGTTTGTCAACATAATATATATGTCGATAGTAACGTGACTAGTAAGTCTAATAAATAGATAAAACATTTTATATAATATGACGAATGACTTAGGCGTAGGTCGGCGGCAGAGATTTACGTGAGCGTTTGTTTTAAAATCTTTTTTTCGGTAAGATCACTGCAATTTATATATACATAGGAATAATACAATATAAGCTCGTGAAATCATTATATAGGAAACGGAAAACGACGGTTTTCAATGTAAAATTATAATATAAACTCACGATACGCCCGTATGCCGACAATAATAATAATAATAATAATAATAATAACCATAAACGAATTTAAAATGGAAAAAAAATAATATAATATAATATATAGGTTTAATAATTTAACATTCATGACGCGATGACGCGCGGACGATTGGAGACGGAAGTGTGCTGCAGTCGTCTATACATACATATATTATGCGACCGCCTGCTGCTGATGCTGTTGCTGTTGCTGTTGCTGCTGCTGCTGCTGCTGTTGGTGAGGCAGCATTCGCGGACATCCGGTATCGCAGTGCTTGGTGAGCAGCGACATGCGGCTGAACGTCTTGCTGCACGTCGCACACGAGTACTTCTTCACGTCCGAGTGGGTCTGCAGGTGGGCGCGCAGGTTGGACCTGTCGGCGAACGCCCGGTTGCAGTGCTGGCACGAGAACGGCTTTTCGCCGGTGTGGGTGCGTATGTGGCCCTGCAGCAGCCACGGCCGACTGAACGCCTTGCCGCACAGGTTGCATATGCACGGCAACGTGTGCGTGCGGATGTGCATCTTGAGCGCGCCGAGCGTGTTGTACGCCTTGTCGCAGAACTTGCAGCAGAACGTCTTGGCCGCGGCGCCCTGCGACTCGTCGTTGTTCGCGCAGTGGTACTGCTGGTGCTTGGTCAGCCCGGAAACGGTCGAGTACGTTTTCGAGCACGCCGCGCACTTGTACCGTGCCGCGGGCGCGGCTGCTGACGACTCGCGCTTGACCTGCACCACGCCGCCGTCGCTTTCGCCGCCAGAGTACTGCGGTTGGTACTGCTGCTGCTGCTGCGACGGCGCCGACGCGGGCTGTTGCTGATGCGACGCCGGCGGCGGCCCGTACGACGGCGACATGGCCGACGACGAAGACGCCGAAGACGGCGGCGGCAGCGACGAATCGACGTCGGCCGACGACGACGGCGACCAGCTGCTGACCGCTGTCCGACCGTACCAGTGGAGCTGGACCGCGGGCGGTGGGCTGCGGAGGACAGGCGCCACGGCCGCGGTGGCGGGCGGCGTGTGCTGCAGCAGCGGCTTGAACGCGGAACCGGTGCGGCCCGCGTTGACGGGCGGCGACAGGGACGCGTCCCGGGCGATGGCCATCATCGGCGGCGGCGGGTAAGCGGTCAACATGGCGGCGCCGCCGGTCTGCTGCTGGTGGTACATGTAACCGGGCAGGTAACCGGTGTGCGGGTACTGCGCGGGCACGGGCCGCGGCGTGGCCGACGCGTAGTGCCGGTTGATGCCGTGGTGGTACGCCGCGACCGCGGCCTGCGCGGCGGCCGGGTGGTGAGCGGCCGCGATGTTCAGGCACAGCGGTTCCAGCGGACCGGCTTTGACGGCCGTCGGCTGGTACGGCTGTTGTTGCTGCAGTCGGTGCACTTGGTGGTTTTGGTGTTGTTGCTCTTGTTCGTGGTGTTGGTGCGGTTGCGGGCCGCCGTGGTGGCTGTAGTACGCGGACGGCGACGACAACGGCGTCGCGGCCTGTTCGTGGTCATCGTACGAACGCGGCGATTCTTTTTTCACGGCCAAAGGCGCGATCGCGGCAGTCTTGCACTTGACGCTCAGGTCTTGCGGTTTGGTGCTCAGGTTTTCCGGTTCCAAACACTCGTCTGTGTTGTCTGTTCAAAAAAACACAAGAAACATTTCCCGATTAATATTTGGAACGACATGGCCGGTGTACGCGATTTATATCGTTCGTTATTGTTACGTAATTTCCAAAACACGGTAATAAGCAGGTATAGCGATATAATTATATTATTATTTGTGGCTCATTGCATTGCCAAGAGATGCGGGGGAAAAACGTGTAAATATTTATTCGATCGAAAACATCGTTTTCGTATATAATTATTAATAAAATCGACGGTCGTTTCTTTGCGTATTGCAGAAACACGTGTTTTTGGGTCCTGGAAAATATTTCCACGTGTATTTTTTTTTTTTTTTAAATGACGACACGAAATTTCGTCCGTCGAACTATAATAGTGCTAAGAAAAAAAATCAGTGTCGTACTATTATAGCGGTGACGTATATTAAATGTAAACATGTCGTCATTTACACCGCCGTTTATAACGGTTTATTTATCATTACTATTATTTGGCGAGGGGTGAAGTGCGCATTGCGAAAACATTGCACCGAATCGAAAAAAGGGTGACCCTCTGCAGAGTGCATTTCCCACGGTCGGTGGCGCACCGGTTCCCATCATCATCATAATCATTCATCGTCGTTTAGTGTAATATATAAGTACACGTGACGAGCAAGTGAATAATAAATTTAAATAAAATGGTGTCGTGCGTGTCGAGATTGGATTCATCGTATATAGCTATACTTATAAATAAATAGATAACACGTTTTGCAAATTCGACAAAAAAAAAAAAAAAAAACAACACCACTCCGCCGGCGTTTTAACGAAAATTTAAGAAAGTGTGCTTCGCAACATTTATTATCACGACAGTAAAATATATATATATATATATATATAATTAATATTTACCGAAATCCATCAGCTCTTCTTTGATGTGCTCGCATTTGACGTAGTGGACCGGTCGTTTTTTCAGCGGACAGTGCGAGTAATCCATTTTCTTCGAAGTCAACTTGTGGTGCATCATTGCCGACTGCAGTGGTTTATCTTCAAAAATATGCATTTTCCGTGCACACACACACTGCAGGACCGTCGACGACGACGTGTCCGGGATTCGAGACGACGTGGACGTGCGCGCGCGTCTCGTAGGGAAAACAAAAAAAAAAAAAAAAAAAGAAAAATAAAACGGAATATTCGACCGGTGATGTCGGACGGACGCGATGAGAAAAGGGAAATCGAAAACGACGATATCAAAATATTGTCGTCGATATATAACGTACACGGCGGTGGACTGTGTGCGGTGATGTACGTGGTGCACCGGCGTCGAACTCACTGGACGGTGGTGCAAGAGCGGCGGGCACGTTCTACGGTGTGTGTCGCCGAAGAGAATGCGAGTGATTCTGCCGCCGCCGCGAGAGAAGAGGTGGTTCTGGTTCCACGTTCTCCGTTGCGGTCTCCCCACCACCCGTCGGCGGCGGCGGCTGTGGAGGGCGCGCGCCCGGCAGCATATCACCGCGCGGCGGACAGGTGTTCGGCCCCCGTCGCACGTGCTGGCCACCGCGGCGACCAATCCGGCCGGCGTACATGGCGCGGACCAATGGGCGCGGTGCGGGGTTCACCCTCCCGGTTCGGCGGCTGTCCCCTTCCGATCCGGTTCCGGTGCGCGCCGCGGCGGATCGGCGCCGAAAACCGGTGCGACCGTAATAATATATAATGTACCGTAATGATAGATATAATATGGGCACGACGGTCGACAATATTATATGATACGATATTATTGTATGCGCATCGCCGTGTTGTACGTATACATATTATATTATATAACGTACAAAAATGTATTTTCACTGCGACCGTCGTCGCCGGGTCGAGATTGTTTTATTTCGGACCGAAAGCGGTCCGCGCGTGACAGATTTTTCACTTCACGCCCGCCATTATATACCTAATCATCGTGTCCGAGCAGCAGCTGCGCACACGGCGAATATTATATTAATAAACCGCGTTCGTCGTCGGCTTTCACGCAGACGAAAAGCGACCTGCAGTCGCCGGTTACCGCGTTCATAAATAATATAGGTAGGTATAAACGATATGCGGTTACATCCCCGTAACCGTAAACCACGTAACGTCCCGCGTTTAGTTGCTGTCGGGGAGCTCCGAACGAGCGTATATGTAAGCAGTTATGTCGACGTTGCATGTGTCGAGCTTGTGTTCAGGAATTTTTCCCCGACTGTCCGACATTATTTTCGCGCGAGCGACTTGAAAATATTAAAATATATTCCATTCGTTCCGCCAAAGTATACCTAGCCTAACCCGCGCATCGATGTACGTATATAATATTATACCTATCTATTTACGCGTATCCGCGTTCACGTTTCAATATCACATAAATTACAATTTTGATCACCGATTGAAACGCTTTATTATAGCTGTAAGATCTCTTCACGTCGGATTGAATACGGTGGTGGTCCGCCTGCAGGCTTAGTCGCATGTACCGCGAAATCCAATTTGACGACATAAAATTGTTTTGAATTTAGACAAAAGTTTACAAATAGTCGTTGGTACATATAGAATCATGATGCATAACAATATATCTTTGAGAATTCACGTTTTCTAGGTACGACTGACCGGCAAATGTATTAGTATATAGGTACTTATAATATTCCTTATTAATTTAAAACCTTCTATGATATATATAATTAGAATTACATGTGTGTTTTGGACAACTGCGATGCGGTACAGGTTAAAATACGACTTCACTTCATTAAATATAGTTATACAACTATACTTTATAGGCTATATGAGATGCATGATACGCCGTACACTCGTATAGGTATATAGGTATATTTTAATCTAGATGGACAATTTCAATTTTTACCGACTTGCGTTATAGTATGTTAAGTATAAATAACTATTAAATATTGTTGTAGTTGCAATAATATATTATATGAGTTGTTTTTTCTAAATGTATGTTCTAATATTATTATAATGCATAATATAGCATGACTATCTGTAACGGTACCATAATATAGGTAGGTATCACATACATTTTATCGAAATCTAAGTAAGCATAAATTAGTTAAAAATAAGTTTAAATTATTTGTTGCAATGGACTAAGTTAAATATTAACTAGTTATCTATTTTTTATTTTAAGCTGATATCCAATTTATGACATTATGTAGACAAATTATTTAAATAACTTTATAGTCACGTTAAGTTAATTTATCTGATGACATCTCACCTCACAGATTTCAAATATATTTTTGTTTTATATAGATAAAATAGTCTTTAAGAAAAAAAAAACAAACGGAAATATTATTATTTATTTGTGTACAAATAATAATACTGCGTAAATATACTTAATTTTAAAACTGTTGAAATGTTAAACAATGCACTATATAGTTAGTTCTATAGGTACTTTCAATAGCCAATAAGGATCAAAATAACGTAGTGTACACAATACGATATATAGGTACTACAGCTCAAAGTTCGACGTTTAATGAGACGCCGGCGAAGTGATTTCTTAAAAATTAACATAAATAATTAATAACTTCTAAAAGTAGCTGGTTTTTTATCGAGAGTTCATTGTAAATTCCTCATCTTTTATGCATTATTTTTATTATACATTTCTGTTTTTCTGTAGAATACCTTTATCAAATTTGCTAATTATAATTTGCTTCGATTTTAAAGTGTAAATAGTAAGTTTAAAAAAAAGTGCACTAAAGTGACTGCAGATTTTTAACCAAGAAGTTAAGTTTTTTTTTCTTTTTTATAAGCAACCGTATTGGCATGTTATATATTATAATGTATATTATGCGTTGAGTTGAGTACATCGTGTTAAGACTTTATTCCTACAGCTGCCGCAGATCTAGTTCATGTCAATGTCAGTTATTGGTATAGTTATATAGTTGCAATAGATTTAATATTATGTATTATCGTATATGATACTTTGCACGTCATGTGAACTTGTGCCACGGGCTGCTCTTCAGACGACCAAATTATTACTATTATGGCTTTGAGTTCGTATAATATTATAATACATAAACCTATATAAATATACCCATTCAAGCAACGTGGATTAAAGATCCATTTAAGTACCTAAAACTTTATATTGTCTTATAGTGAGCCCCCGCTATATAGACTTAATCCATTTTCACTTAAAACATTTTTAATTACTATTTCACGGTTTAATGTGATTTTTTTATTTCATACTATTTAAAATAAAAATATAACTATGTGTAATATTATACCCATTATAAATTATACAACAAAAATATTATAGTGACAAATTTATTTTTAGTATTATAAACATATATAGACACTATATTATACCTATATAATATAAAATTAAAAATACTGTTATTTCATTCGAATAAATGTCAAAAACATCTAAAATCTAATTTATAATTAATATTATACATCAAATTATTTATTATTATTAATAAAGAACTATACCTATTTTCACAACTACAATTTTCACAAATTTATACATTTTAACATAATGTTATTCAGTTATATATATCGTGATGTGAGCATTTTCAATTTGATTGTTATTTTTGAATGTGAGCATTAAAAAAATATTTTATTATAATAGATGGTACCCTATATTTCAGACTTACAACTATAATTATTACGTATGTATAATGTTTAAATTTTATTAAACACTCTGCGAGTAGAGAATTAAATATTTTGTGCTTATCGCGAGAGTGCATAATGTTTTTTCTGCAACTGTGACACTGCAGTCGCCTTGTGTAAGACTCGCAGAATCCACGCAGGCGGCCAGTTGTGATATTGCATTTTATTAAATACCTAATGTATACATATAGGGTGACTTGCACCCCATCCAACGCTCGCACTGCACAATAATACGCAAATATCTATAGATTATAATATTATGTATATAACGCATAGTATATTTTGTATACCTGCAACAGCGTAATACATGATATTATATTATACCTGTACAAGTCTGTGGGTAGACGAATTGCGAAATTTAGTTTTACTATTCATTTTAGCTATTGCAGGTTATATTATGTGCATTATGATTTTTCGTTGGTATATAATAGTGCGCAATACCTATGTACACATTCTAGACGCGTATTTCGAGTGTTATATGTATAGTCCCGTAACGTGTTTTTGAAAACGCACTTATGTGCCTATATATATATATATATACATATTACAACATACGTTATTAATATATAACATCCGGTATATTTATTGCATTGTGTATGTATATCAAATCCGGATCTAGAGTGGAGAAATCAGAATTCATACTTGGGCATAATATTTTCTTAACATTTTTGGGTATAAATTATATCGAAACATCGATGTATTTAATAGTTCGTATACATTAGACTAAAAATGCTAAATCAGAACAAAATTTTCATAATTTTCAGATGTAGTTAAAACTAAACAATATATTGTATAATAAATATTATACAACTATGACATTTGTTATATACATTTTTAATATTACGGCAATGATGCCAATGATGGCCAATTGTATTAGTTTCAAGAAAGTCAACAAAATTATGAGTTTTCGAAAAATTATGAAACAATTTTCACGATCAATATTTTTAATTTATACGATTAGAAAATAATAACGGGTGTGGTATAAAATATCTTATTTTTTCTTTAATGTCGACTGATGAGGTCTAAAAGCTTAAATCGTTCAAAAGCTCTGTCAAAGATCGGTCAAAATAAATCCATTAAATATCGTTTAAATAAAAACATAATAGAAACGAAATTGATATATAGTGTACACCGATTCTCAATGGCCTGTATAATATATCCACAGGGTTCACGTCATAAATGTTTGATTTAAAATTTATATAATCGTACTAATAAGACTTATTATTTGGATTACTGCAGAGGGTTCCCAACTCTAAACAAAACGCGCACCGAGGGATAATAAAGAACTCCAAGACACGCGTACAACGGATACCGCAGGCATAGTATATAATATATATATATGCATAGAGATAACGTTTAATTAATTATAAATGTCTATATATGGCGTAAAAATTCGAGTAGTATGGTAATTTATGCCAAGATCTCTAACCTCGTTTATAGCACGCGCTTCAACTATATATACTAGAACACTAAAGCAGATTATAGCGATGTAAAATGGGTAAACATTTGCTATAGAATACGATATTCGCGTACACATAATACAATATTATATATATTATGTCTGTATTATTAGGTGTGCGACCCATTATCTGTGAGCACCTTGTGAAAGAGGATCTATGATGAGCAGCTGCTCTGCAGTCTTGTCGTATAGTTTCGAACAGTCTTTAATGTTTAATATATTGTTAATTGTGATTTATATGTATATTGTATATTATATTATACATAAATGTATAATGTGTATATTATATTATATTATATTTATAT